CTATAGGACCGTGGTCTAAGTGAACCGCTCTGTCCAGACGTTTCGTCATCTACTGCAGCTGACATCCTCAGTGGTAGTATTGCGTTGACAACGTGAACGTAGAATATATCTCGAAGAATCTTCATTCCACTATAGTTTAATTGTTTTCGAAAATGGGGTATGAGGCGGTTTGATTCCCCAGCAAAAGATCCCTGACAAAATATTCCTAGACAAAATATTCCCAGACAAAATATCCTCACAAAAAGTATGAATTATTTTTATATGTTATATTTTATTCAATAAATTTACCTATTTTCTCTTAATTTGTTCTTTGAAGAAAGTTCAACATTCTCAGAAATTTGGGAAAGCAAAGATGCTTATTTAAAGATATAATTCCAATCAGGCAGTTATAAAGCGTAACTAAGCAACATCTAACCGCTACACCGTTTACTATTATTCGGTTATCTCTTTTCATTTTATCCGTACTACTCATGAAGCATTTCCTATCTTAACAAGTACGTGTCCAAAACGCAGCAAACGACTACAGTCTCAGGACTAGTTAGAGACATATTAGAAGCAGAAACAGGGGTTAAGAGGAGTAGAGGTAGACATAAATTTAGATTACTGTTTGCAAATAGTTAAGGATGTAGGATGTTTTAGTTTTCGGGAAATGCGAAGATTAGTTCAGACGACCTCATGATCATTAACTGTTCTATGTGACCTCCTAGTTCCATTGTTTTTCTAATTTATTCGTCGATAGACTTTCTAACATTAAAACCGTATTATTTCGTTGAATTTTGAGTTCATTTTGTGAAAGGATTTCATTAGTATAAACTGAAGTCTTCATATGCCACCAAAAATAGATATCCATTAGGTTGTAATCAGAACTTTTAAATATTAATGATGTTTATATCACGCTTTATAATCAAAATTACTCAAAAGTTACGTCAAAAAACATTTCTTGGGTAAAGTTACACCTCTGTGCTTATTTTGAAAAAGATTCATAAAACCTTTCCGGAATTATACCCAGAAAAACGAAAATATTAAGTATGTCACTATTAACACCCTGTATCTTTTTCAACAGCTCCAAATAACCTGCACCTGTTCTATGTCCCAATAGTTGTGACTCACCCTGTATAATGGTTATCATCGAATCAAAATTACGACGTGATAGGTTAAATTCTAAAAAATATCTCTTTCTTTTCTGTATTGCGCATTGAGGCAATTTTCTTGGCCTAGCACAAACTTGTCTTTTACCGGTCGATGTATCTCTGAGGGGTGTACGCCCTGTGCATATTGTACGGATATGGTCATGTATGAGTTTGTTCGGTTAAAGGCTTATACTGATTCACATTAATCATTTCCTTTCAATTAACTCTGACACTGACGCGTTACTGGACAATTATTAGAGAGACCCAGCCAACCATTATCGAACTTGAGCATATAGTTTACCTGTAACATCGACTGTTCTGCATAATTTATAGGCATTTGAAACAAGACCCCACATGTATAATTTACCTTTGTTTAGTGTTTCTATTTTGGCTCCGAAATGCTTGATTTATTGTAATCAATGTATCATAGACCTAATATATATGGAAAATAATCAAATATGGATATGTAGCTAATTGATAAGAAAAAAAGTTCTTTTGTGTGGTATCATATGAAAATAGTACTAAAAGACCCTTGCCTGTGGTAATAAGGCTTCGGGAACTCCACACGATTGATTATTATCTCAGGAATTATCTAACTAAGCCACCAACTTGGAACGAAGACACGATACAGCGGCAAGGAGCTACCTAACAACAATTAGTCTTGCCAGATGAATTTTTTTTATTCCCTAGTTTTCTTACTAAAATTTCCTTATATTTGAATATAAAAGACCATTATTGAATGCTAAAAAGTACGGTATGTAGGGGAATAAAAAGTACGGAAAGAGTAAATTTGAAGATAAGGACGACAAATTAGAAGAAGTTGCTAATTTTCGGTGTCTAGGAATTTAGATAACTCAGGATGGAAGGAGTAGTAGAGATATAAAACAAAAGAAAGCGCAGGGTCCAGCCGCCTTCACCAAGAAAAGTCACTTCTATGCTCGACGATGGGCGAGGCGGAAAAGAAAAGGTCAGAAGCGTTTAAAATGAGGTGTTAAAGACAAATGATGAGGATACCGTGGATAGAGAAGGTTAGAAATGAGGAGGTATTAGAAAGAGTAGGAGAACAGAGGGCGCTGTGGAAATAAATTAAAAATAGGATAAAGACACCTTCTCAGGCATGGTTAGACTTATCAGAAGCAGAAATAGGATTAAACATACATACAATTTAGACATCTTTTAGAAATGAGTTAGTTTAATATGAAATATTATTCTGAAAATTTATTTCTGAATTTTTTTACCCACTACACACTACCTCAAATTAATGAGGGAAAAATTGTTGCTGTTGTCACACCCCCGCCGGGAATCGAACCCGGGACCTTTAAGATGTCTAAATTGTATGTATGTTTAATCATACTATATTCAGTATGCATAGTTACATTAGTTCGACGGATCGTTAACCTTGTAGGTCGGTTGGTCGTTTTTGCTGTTGTCACCTCTCGTAGTTTAGTGGTAGAACATTGGTGCGTAAAGCCAAAGGTCCCGGGTTCGATTCCCGGCGGGGATGTGACAACAGCAACAATTTTTCCCTCATTAATTTGAGATAGTGTGTAGGTAGTGGGTAATAAAATTCAGAAATTAATTTTCAGAATAATATTTCACAGAAATATTTTTTTTTTTAAATAATAATTGATAATTCTACTTATGCATGCTTGAGGGATCTTCATTGTAGGAGTCTAATTTGCATTCATAACACTGATTAATTAGTATCTATCGATTTGTAACCTTCAAAGTGTAGTAGATTTGCGTCTATTGAATCTTCTGCACCTTCTCATGGACAGGAGCATCCTTCTTACACCATGGATGACAACAGTTGTTAATTGATACTTTTTTTGATTATATTCATTTTGTAGCAATTGTATTTTTGTTAGGAGATAGACGATCCAATGTCGTTCCAAAAAGTTGTGATCAGAAAACTGCTCCTGAATTCAGTTGGGGAAGGGTTAGCAGTGTAATTTCAAAAAAACGTGCCACCCAAGTAAGTACGTAATAAAAGAACGGGTAGAAAAAAGGTACAAGCTGAATAGTTAAGAGGGCGTCATTTCTGGAGCAACGGGCATTATTCCTTTAATTTTGCAAAGTACTAGTTGAATAGCACGAAGCAAACCGTGGTGGTTTATGAAATGAAAGCACGAAATAAAATATTTAATTGGCCATTTTTCGCCCGGGGCTGATATCCTCGCCATAATAACTTCAGCATCAGCACTAAACAACGGAGCATCGCTTACCCGTGCTCCATTGTTCTGAAACAAAGGCCAACGCCAGACGCTACTTTGTTACATTCGCTCTGATTGGGCCCCGTCTTTTGTTCCATTTGTTGGCTATTACTTACGCCTTCGGGCTTTCATTTCCGTATGAGTTTACCAACCAGATTTCTTTGCACTTCACTGAAAATCCACGACACTAACACTCAAACTCCTCCAGAATCTAAAACTGTTGTTTTTTTCTTTCTTGTCACTCCTTGTAGAGGTGACTAGCCGAACCAACTTTTCAGTTTGCTTATTCTTCTTCTATGTGAAGTTTTTCTCTGCAATATTTTAACTAATTCGATCGAAACTTAGCAGACTTTAACACTTGAACTGTGTTACGCTTTAACCGTCTCATTGGTTGTCTTTCTGATTTAATTTGATCAGCAAGTTTTATTTTTACTTGTACATTACGTTCTGAGAGTTCATTATCTTGAAAGGAAAGATGGTACCTGTGTACAATGACTTTTAATTGAAAAACGATAAGGTGATTTTGATATTAAACAATTGCGAACAAATGAGCGGGTCGAATTCGGCTGTATAGTTGGTTGCATATATATACGTTTATTGCTATGCATTGAGGACATAGGTTAAGTAATAATGCACTATTATGGAATGGTTTTAAGTTCAAATGCACCATCGACATAGGCAGCGTCCAAATTTGGACAAGTTATGGATTAATAAGGGTTGTTTTTCCGGATTTATCCGAGTTTAGAGAGCGTCGGGACGGGGTTTAACTTGTAGTTCAGGTTTAAATATATATTATAGTATCTTATAACTTTCAGAAGGTTCTATTTTGTGTTTTAAGAAGACCAAATTTAGTTTAAAATAAAAATAAATAAAAAGTTAATTTATATTAATTTTTTATTTTACTAATAATGATATCTAGTTTAACCACTTCATAAGAAGAAAGGGCTAGTGAATTGTCTTTTTGATTTGCGCCTGTCATGAGAAACTTCCAAAAAACCTTACATAAGTATAGCGGGTAATATAGGTATATAATATACCTATGTATGTCGGAAATAAAGGGTTCGATTCTCACAACCTTTTTTTACATTAACGAGTGGAGACGTGAAATAATTGGGCATATGTTTCCTTTATTACGAGGAACGTTTTATTAAGTAGACCCTTGGTTATGTTTTTGTTGCATGGGTGATTGATACAGTTCTCATGTCGAACGCCGTTTAACGTCGAGTGAACGGCAGGAGCAGGGTTGAACACTGAAGAGGTACCTCATACGGTGGATATTATGAAGCATCCCTAAAATTATTCGCGTACGCTGTTCTGAATATGTAACAAAGAAATACTTACATTTCGGGTGCATATTATTTCATTGATAAACCGGCCAAGTATGTAGATATGTAAATAGTTCGGTGAGTTTTTCCGCTTTTTCCAACCACTTTTTAAGTTTCCCCCAAAAATCAGTTCCCAAAACGTATAATTAGGTACAGTACCTATTACAATTAAAAAATTATCTTTTTTTATGATATAAGGTAAAAGGCCCAGTTTCTGACACTCTAAGAGTGACAGCTGAGATTATATTACGATAACTANAGGACTATAAATTGTCAACAAGTTATAGGAATGTTAATTAAATTATAATCTAAATTATTTAGTAGTTTCTAGATTTTCTCAGTAAGTATTTTATTCAGATGGTGTGGCCTGTGATTCAGGTACATAATATTATCAACTCAGAACACTATTTTAACACACAAACACTTATTAAGGTTCTCTCAAATATTGTTTGCCAGTTTACACAGAAATTTTAAAATTTAAAATAAGGATTTACGAATGCGTAAAATTCTTAACTAGATCCAGTACCCATTTGGATTGATCTCGTATAGATACGTGACCGGCATTTCTGACCAAAGCTTCTGTGAACTTTCCCGCCCGTTTTTTATATCCAGCCACCTCGTTATCAACAAGCCATATTTCCCTCTTTGCGTTTTTGTACGATTGTACATCTTTGAAAGTCAACTGTCTCAGATAATCCTCTACAAGAGGGTATGGGAATATGGTGTCCACTTGTCCATTGTAGATCAAAACTTGCACGTTATCCAGCAGTTCAGTCAGCCAATGGGCAACGGATTTCATGTAATCGTTCAGCAGCCTCACTTCAACGGTGCTGTTGACGATATTAAAACTGGAATTACCTACATGAAGTGCATTTCGAACGTTTTGGCTTTGCAGGTATCTACTAACACGAGCAAGTTCGACAAGTACTGCTGTACCATCTGGAACCAAGTAGTTATAGACGCTGGTAAAGCCTGTCAGATTCCTAAACAGAGTTGACGGACTCAAATCGCCATTGATAAGTTGATCAAATGAATCGAAGGCTTCTCGCCACCGTTCGTTTTTTATCAAGGAAATAATTTTCTCTTCCACTTCTCTAAATTGTGTCTTACCGTTGAGGTCGATCAGTCCTATTTGGTATAAGAACTCGTCGTAGTACATCTGGTTGACCGGATCACAGAAACCGTCACCAATTATCACTCCAGCGAGATAAATTGGGACTTGAGCTTTGGGATTTTTTTCCAATATCACGTGACCTATGGCAGGAACGTACTTTCCAGCGTAAGATTCACCGGCAATGAAGAACTTGTTCTTCCGAAGTTCAGGAAACAGTTTGAAAAATTGCACCAATGCTTCGTAGATGTCTGCCCCCGTTGAGTTTCCGTCACGAACGAATCCAGCATCATCTTTGGTAAAACTGAATCCACTTCCAACAGGATTATCAATATACAGAACGGAATGGTTTTTGGTCCAGGATTCTTGTCGAAATTCTACACTGTTGTTGCTACTGATTTTAAAGGGACCGTTTTCTACAAACAACGCTATTAAAGAACTTGCTCCTGGTCCTCCTTGGAGCCATAGTATCACTGGATCGTTTCTGTAATCGTTCTCTGATTGGAAGAACCAAAAGAACATATTTGAATTAAATTTCTCGTTAACCGTAAAGAAACCTGAATAACTGACGGCTTTTCCAAAAGGAGAATAATTCACCCTTGATGCAGATAGTGCTTCGCTGGTTCTGTTACTCTTGATCAGTGGGGTTAAGATAAGTGGCTCACAAGCAACACTTGCTATGAGAAAACTAATTGTTGTTAACGTATAATACACCATTTTCTAAACAATTTGGATGAGCGGAATGTTACAGTATTATTCAATTTGTGGCATTAGATTCTATGATTTCAGTATAAATAGTGGTTCCTTTCTTAATCTGTATTATCTGTAGTACCTGCTACACTATAAAAAAGTACACGTGGAGTTTGAAGATTTCATAATTTTCGACAATTCTTGTAAAAAATATAATCGCAGCTTCAGATTGATAAGGATTCCATACCGTAAAAATTCAAAAAAGCACAATTAAAAAAGAAACTAATTTAAAGATTTTTCTCGTTTCTGTTGTGACTACACATTATTCAAAAACGTAAATAAAATGTCAACAAAGNAATATACAGAACGGAATGGTTTTTGGTCCAGGATTCTTGTCGAAATTCTACACTGTTGTTGCTACTGATTTTAAAGGGACCGTTTTCTACAAACAACGCTATTAAAGAACTTGCTCCTGGTCCTCCTTGGAGCCATAGTATCACTGGATCGTTTCTGTAATCGTTCTCTGATTGGAAGAACCAAAAGAACATATTTGAATTAAATTTCTCGTTAACAGTTAGGAAACCTGAATAACTGACGATTTTTCCAAAAGGAGAGTAATTCACCCTTGATGCAGATAATGCTTCGCTGGTTCTGTTGTTCTTGATTAATGGAGTTAAGATAAGTGGGTCACAAGTGACACTTGCTATAAGAAAACTAATTGCAGTTAACGCGTAATACACCATTTTTTAAACGATTTTAACGAGCAGAATAATACAGTATCATTCGATTTGTGACTTTGCAATCGATGATTTCAGTATAAATACGTAATTTCGTTTGATATCACTACTTTCATAATCTGTATTATCTATGCTAGAAGCGTCAGTACAAAAAAATACACGTGGTGTTTGAAGATTTTCTAATTGTTTACAACTTTTTCGCGAAAAAGTAATTACACAGTGGTTTAATCGTAAATTTAGAATAATTCATTGTTATCAAAATTAATAAAGCACGATTTAGAATAGGACTGCTGAAGTGCTATCTTTCAATATTATTTTTTTCTTATATGTACCGATTATAAAATTATGACTACAGATATCGGTGCGTATAAAGTAAAAAACGAACAGAATTTCAAATATTTATAATTATTAAAATGCCTAAATTTTTAAATACGTCTAGACAACTGAAAAAAAATGTAACTGTTGACGTTGACCACCAATAACTGATCCCTATAATACAACTAATCGGGATATACGAGGTCTGTTCAAAAAGTACTTTTTTGTTTTCAAAAATTTATTTGTTTTTCATTAATGTTTATTTGTCTCCTTAATAGTAATCTCCACCAGATATAATGCAGTTGTACCAACGTTTTTTCCAATCCTGGAAACACTTCAAAAAGTCATTTTTTGTAATCTTCTTCAGCTACTCCTTCGATGTCATCTTTATCTCCTCAATTGTAACGTAGCGTCGTCCTTTCATGGGCCTCTTCAGTTTCGGGAACAAGAAAAAGTTACAGGAGGCCAGATCTGGGAAATACGGGTGCTGCGGCATTATTAGTGTGTCGTTTTTAGCCAAAAATTCACGCACAAGCAACTATGTGTGAGCAGGGGCGATATTATGGTGCAAAAGCCAATTTTTGTTCTTCCACAGATCTGGACATTTCTGGCGGATTGCTTCACGAAAATTGCGCATAACTTGCAGGTAATATTCCTTATTGACCATTCTACCCTGTGGCAAGAACTCGTTATGCACCACGCACCTGCAATCGTAGAAAACTGTAAGCAAAACCTTCACATTCGACCTAAAAAAAAAACTTTTGGAAGGAAACGACAAAAAAACTTGGAGCAAGGCAGACGGACCCGGAATCGAACCGGCGTTCTCCCGAATGGTAAGCAATGGTCTAGACCTCTAGGCCATGCCGCTCAGTCGACCTAACTTACCGCGCTTTTTTCGGTCTTAGCTTGTACGGCAGCTTCCATTGGGATGATTAAGCTTTGGTTTCCACGTCTTACGAGCAATTTGGTACAAACTTCGCGGCGACCCGTCTCATGCCCAAATGATTGGTAAAAATCAAATGGCAGGAGCCTGTCAATATGTTTAAGTCCTCAGCAACTTCTCTAGCGATGATTTAACGATTGACCTATACTATTTCGGGCTCGGGCTCGCTTTTCGTCGTTCACCTCTTCTCGGTTCTCTGAGAACATTTTGTACCATGGATAAACGTTGCTTCGGTCCAAGGTAGCTTCACCATATGCCATAGTCAACATTCGAAATGCGTCGACACACTTAATTTTGGTATATGTAACCGCGGAAATTCAAACGTCGCGATACTTTTTGAACAGGCCCCGTAAAGTAGTTAGTGGTAATTCACGCTAGAATCTAAGCAGTATGAGATATGGATACGTAGTAACAAACCGTTTTGTTAAAGTGCTCATATACATGTAAAAAAATATGTAAACAGATGAAGATTTAGGAGATGTATTACAAATACAGAAGAGGGGTGAAGAATGGAAAGTTTTGGTAGTACTTCACGCATCTCATTATCAGATATCGTTAATAAAAGACATCACTTGTGACTGAGGAGGTAAAAGATAAAAAAACGAATTACGGTTTTGTATATCAAAAATCACTTATCACAATTACGTGTCATGTGCTTATACTAATACTCTACTCATTGTTATGAAGGTTAAATAGGTTTCAAGGCATTTATTGTTTTAGAGGTTGGCTACCTATTGCATTAAATTTAAATTAATTAGGATAAAATTCGGGATGATTACAAACGGAATAAAAAAAATGCGATTATATAAAAAAAGGGAGGCCCACATAGTTGCCTGAATTTTAGAACTATTACCTTAACTCCTTATCCATCAAAGGTCTTAACTAGAATTGTATAGAGAAGGATGGAAAATAGGGCGGAAGAAGTTTTAGAGGATGACTAATTTGGGTTTAAAACTTGGATACGAAAACGATAAAACAAAAGAAAAAGAATGTAGATGATACATATGATTCGTATAGCTTTTCAAAATGTTAATTGGGAGATGTTAAAAATACATAAGAATGTAGTGATGAGATTTAGGGATTTAAGAATGATTTAATGAGCAACAGGTAGTTATGGAATTTGAGAATGTAAACATTAGGAGGGGATTTAATTTGTGGAAACAGGATTTATAAATGGGGAGGTTATATAAGAAAGAGTTAGAGAACAAAATAAAAATTAAGATGAAATAGGCGAAATAGGTTAGTAGGGCACTTCTCAGACATGAAGAACTAGTTAGAAACATATTAGAAGCAGAAACAGGATTTAGAAATGAAGCGGTATAAGAAGTGTTGTTGAATAAAGGACAATATGGGAATTGATACGAAATAGGTTGGTAGGACACTTCTCAGGCATAAGGGACTAGTTAGAGACATATTAGAAGCAAAAAAGGATTTAGAAATGAGAAGGTATAAGAATAGTTGGAAAATTAAAAGACGATATGGGAATCAGGATGAAATAGGTTTGTAGGACACTTCTGAGACATGAAGAAATCGAAATGAAATATGCGAGATAAGGTTCAGCCATAAAGGTATATAGAAACAGAAACAGGATTTAAAAAGATCAGAGGGAGGCGTAGATGAGATTACTATTCACAATTAGTTAAGGATGTGGGACGTTCTAGTCTTAGGGAAATGCGATGATTAGTTCAGAATAGGAAAAAGTGGAGGTGTGTGTGTCCTACCAGTCTTAGGACTCTATATATGCTGATGATGACTCAATAACCATTATACTCTTAAATGTTTTATTTAAGAGTGACGTGGCCGTGACAATACAGTAGAACCCCTATAAGATAAAGACCAAGGGAAACATAAAATAATTTGAGTAATTGAGGTTTTTACTTACAAAGGGTTTAAGTTTAAGCTTTAAGATTATGGATTTTCAGTGACTTAGAAAACTCTTCAGCTTTTTCCTTTAGTGTAGGTTCACTAACACTAATGTTTTTAAATATTTCTACATTGTCTAAACTATGTACATAAGCATTTTTCTAAATTAGGAAATTCAGCAATTCTTCGCCTTTTATTACATAAAAGACTTTCTACCGATTCAAACCACTTTTCACTGCTTACTGAGGTGCGATGGTCAAATTATTCGTTTAAGTTATAGAGGGTTTTTATTTTAAGTAATAAAGGTTTTGGACTCCGAGGGGAAGGGAACACAAAATTTTATGAATTTATTGAGGTTATTACGTTATCGAGGTTTAAGTTATCAAAGTTCTACTGTATTTGTATTTTATTTTTCCATACTGTTTTATGAAACGATGAAAATAAGGGATAAGCGTCGGGAGATCTATAAGGGAATATATCCACGGCCACTGCCTACTCTTTCATGATAATATCTGCTGGTACAGCATACGTAATAAAAAAATAAGCCGAATATTGTCTGTTTCGGTAGCTTTTATGCCTGAATATATATACGGCAAACGAGACGGGCTCTCTTTTATAGAAATGAATGACTAAATGCCCTTTCAAATATCGCTTCAATCGGATATTCTTTACAATTACCGAATTTTCGGGGAGGGTTCGGCTGCTCGATTCTCTTTTGACGGGATAAGCGCCATGAAGTCGAACCGAAATATGAAAAGATACACACACGTACATACACATGCACCCACCGTAATTACTGAAATTAATTATTTTTCACCGGAGTATAGAAAGGAAAGGAAGGGAGGAAAAAGTGAGGGCAAGAAATTAGCTACTAAATGAAAAAGAAAAGAATTGTTTCCCTTTTTAGATAGTTTAATTACTATATAATAATAGTCCACCGTACTTTTTTTCGTAGGTTCACTTTTCGGTTAAATATTGTAGAAAAAACGGTCAAGAGTGAGTCGGACTCGCGCATAGAGGGTTCCGCACAAACATGTAGATATGTACGAGGGATGTTTCGAAAGTTCTGGGGATTTAGCTATAATTTTTATTATTAACTTCCCATTAGGAAGTTATTGTAATTGGGTCGAAAAGTGAAATCGGAATTTTCATTATATTTCCACGTTTTAACATATTAGTAGCATGCTAGCCAATTTTTTTGATGATGTGTGTATGTACGTACGTACGTACGTACGTACGTACGTA